GTGTGGGAAAAATACACCGGGTTGGGTATCAACTCTATTACTTCTTGTTTAGGAGTGGGGTCTCACTGGGTCACTATATTTTACATTTCTAGTGTAAGGGAGTGTGAAAATATATTGTAATTATCTTGAAAATATAGTGGAATTGTTCGGAGGTTGTCCCCTGGTTTTTTCCTCTATTTGGAGGTTTTCCACGTTAAATTTTGGTGTCTTATTTCTTGCATATTTTATTTATTTGGGATATTCTTAGTATGCTCTGTGGTTGCAGTTTAATTTGATCTTCCACATCAGAAAAGAATTATTCCTGTTTTATTGCAAGAGATTTTTTTTTTTTTTGTCATTCTTGAGTTGCTGGGATTGGGATTATTGTTCACCATTTTACCTTGATATTTTAATTTACATCTTCCGCATTGCGCATGTGAGCCCAACAGCAACCCATCCCAGCCTTTCATTACCGAAATTCCAGCCTTCCTCCTCAGCCCGTCACAGCCTTTAACCTCCGCCGGCAAAGTGACCAACAGTAGAGACGAGAGGCGAGAACCCCGACCTGTTCACGTACCCGCAGCATCCCCGTTCGAGCAGCCCTGTTGGTCTGTTTTTCGGCCAGCAGAACCTGCGAGCAGCAGCAACATCACCATCTCCCTCGTTCGATCAACGAGCAGTACACCTTCGAGCAACCCCATTCACCGTTTCGCCGGACTTTCAGCCCCGTTAGTCCATTTTTCCGAGCAGCAGCGGGTCTTCACCATTGTAGCAACGGGCCTCACCTTTTCACTCGAACAATAGTCGTTCGTAAGAGCCGAGGCCGATACCCGACGTCCGAGACTCTTCGTTTTCAGATTTTCGTTCCCGTTTCATTCCCGGAGGAGGTATATGGCTCAACCTCCTTTAAAATTTTTGAGTTATTCATGAAGGATTAATTTAGGACTTATGGTTCATGCTAGAAATTAATTGAGCATAATTCATGAGATATGAATAATCGAGTTATTATTGATGATGTTGAACTCTCGCATCCTTGTCTGTTAGCCTCTGAAATTCAAGAGTTTTATGTGTTTGCCACAGTCAGCATAATGGTTTTGAGTCATTTGTGAAATCATGCAAAAGGGCCTTGTTTGTATTCCTTTATGTATTTTCGAAAATTTTGTGGGAAGGGTGAGATATTGATGAAGGAATTTAATCTTTGATTTTATGTGTAAGTGGCTGTAGGTAATTCTTTTTAATTTGCCTTTAAGTACTATTAAGCAAAAATCAAAACCTGTTGCATAGGTTGAATTTTTATTTTCGAAAGAATTAAGCAGGTTACAGATATTCAGTATATTAGCTTCTGTTATGTTATTTTTGGGCCTAATATATTTTGGTTTCATAAGTCTTAAGTTTTGGTTTAAAATGGAGTCATTTACCTTGGTAATAAATTGAGAAAAATGGGATTTTTTGACAAATTATTTTATCCCCTTTTTATGTTGAAAAATATGGTAATATGGACTACAAATAATTTCTAAAAGTTGGTCGTAAGATGTGCCGTTGGGTCGAGGAAGTCGTCGGAGGAAAACCGAAGCATGGTGTCGGGTCACGACAGTCGGGATGTTGCCAGGCCACTGCCGCGAGCACGCAGGCGCACCCGTAAGCAGGTGGGCAGCTGGCGCTTGCCGCGTACGTCGTGTGCCGCGAGGCTCGTGTGATAGCAGCCTGTGCGACGCCTTACTGCCGACCCTACCGTGCGAAGAAGACTCCCGCGACCTACAAAGCCCCGCGTCCCGTACTTTGCAGTCAACTCCTTTTTCCCAGCCCAAACCATTTTTTTTTAATAATTTCGAAAGAACTTTTAGAAAATATCCCGAGCTTTAAAAATGATTTCTTTTGTAGTCGAGGCTAGTTATAGATTTTCAAAGAGTTAATTCCGAGATTTTTTTTAAGATTTTGAGTCGAGAGTTCTATCATCTAAGAAAGAGCATAAAGTCTATAAGTCATGGACCTTAAGCTAGAAAATCCTTCAATTGGTAAATTTAATTTACCAAACCAGAATTAGTTATTTATCTGAGTATCGCTTAATTCATGTAGATTTCGAGAATTCGAGCCCTCGAGTTTCCACAGAAGCGACAACTCATCTCAGTAGCAGACCCAAATTATCCAGGTGGGGAAGTCTACCTAATACATCATTCTGATTTAACAGTGTGATATTTTTGTTTGCCGTTATTGGCATGAATTATGTGTTTCCAGTTTTCAGTTATATATCGAACGCTTGATCACGTACGGTATGAACAGCTATTTCTGTAGTTGTTCCCAGATCAGATATGTCGCATGCTAGCTAGTCCCCCGAGGAGCAGTACTCCGAAGGGCTAAGTAGACAACCAGTGCACCTGAGGGGCAGTACTCCAATGGTTGCTAGAATTTTTCAGTTGCACCTTAGTACTGCTTTGGTTGATAGAACTCTTTTTGAAACCATTGTTTGTGTATTATATCTGCTTACAACGGTATTTTCTGTTTAATTCGAATGTTCGTACTATATAGACTCTAGGTGAGCCTGTTGATTATTATTATGCTCACCCCCCCATACCAACCTATCAGGTTAAGTAGCTGGATAGACGGCACTGGAGGCAGGGCAGTGTGGTCATCGGTTTATTATTATTCAGTTATTTATTCCAGACATTGCAGTTCTTTTCAGTATTATAATTCCCATGTCGAGACATTGGATTTTTAAGATGATTGCATGTTTGATTTGAGGATTATGAAGTTTGATATTTTGAGACTTAATGCATTTTTGAGTTATTGCATGTCTCCAGTCAATTTGAGAGTTTGAATTTTTATAAAAGAAAGAGTTTTATGAGTAACGACCCAAGAAAAAAGCATTTTCAGATCTTTGAAGAGTTTAAAAAAAATTACTTGAAAATATTACTATTTCCTTTAAATCAAAAGTGGGTGTTACATATAGATCCAATTTCATCGCCCACCAAGATGATTGGATTAGATGTCGAGTCATACAACAGAAGATGTAAGGTGATAGAGCGATTTATATCTATTTATCCAACCCCGTAATATATATACATTCAACCCCATAATTTATCTGTAATTCGCAAAATTGTCCGTTCTTCACAAAAGGCAAGATTTATGTTAATTTGATGTATTGGAGTTGACCGACGACCCTACCACGACGACCGACGACCCTCCGGCCGTATTCCGACGACCCGACGCTGCCAGACGCGTCGGTGCAGGGGTCACATGTTCCGGCACGCGCCGCCTGCACTCAGCCCGCTTGGTGGTTCGCACAGCCCATGGGATCCAGTCTAGATGCACAGCCCAGACGTGTGCTGTCCAATCCAACAGCAAGCAGGAGCCCAGGTCCAGTCCGTCAGACGCCAGCCCGCGAAGATCCACGATAAGGCCCAATATGCGAGGCAGCCTAATTCGCCAAGCCCAATTCGCGGGTCGCACGGCCTGCGTATAGCACGCGCGCAGTCCGCAACCCACACAATTCTGGCCCGCGAGAGCCCGCGCAGAGCCCGACTTGCCCAGCCCGCCTTTCCTCACAGCCTAGGCCCGCGAAGCCCTCTTCAGCCCGCGCTCCAAGTCCAGCCCACCTCCATGCGGCCCAGATGTGCGCGTCCGTCCTTTACATAACATGTTATAATTCGGTTTATACTTGGTTCATAATCTATAACAATTTATATAACATATAAGTATATATAGAGTTTTTTGTTTTTGTTTTTCTTATCGAATATACAACCACAATGTAAGTAATTTTATTAATTTTTATTAGTATTAATAGATAATTTATAATAAAAAATAAAGTAATTTTTTATTTTATATATGCAATATAGTGTCAAATTAAACCTCGTGAAAAGATGATTAATTTTATATATTATATATAAAAAATTGATAACACCCAAAAAGTTATTTAGTTTTAAAAATTGTTGTTTTTTTTTTTT